TGATTTGTCGATTAGGCAGAAAGCCATTTTGGTCTTTGTGAATTAATTTTGATAATACTCATTTTAATCTTTCTGCAATGATAGTTGTAAATATTTTGTAATCTGTATTAATCAGTGATATTGGTCTGAAATTCTTGATATTGCTAGTGTCTTTCCCTTCTTTTGGTATGACTGATATTATTGCTTCTTTCCATGTATTTGGTATGCCTTCATTTTGTATACTATTTAGAAGATCTGTCAATGGGTCAAGGAGAATTTCTTCCATTTTCTTATAGTAATCCGCAGAGAATCCATCAGGTCCTGGGGCCTTTCCTGACTTAAGTTTTCTTATTGCTTTAGAAATTTTCTCTTTAGTGATGGTCTGATTAAGATATTCTTTTTGTTTTAAGTTCAAAAGTTTGTTGTGTATATATTTATTTATCATTTATCAAATATCTCTATCAATACTATAAAACAGCGCAAAGAATTATCCTCCTTTTTAGGTTTTTCACACCATCATGTCCACTTTACACCATCATGATCTATTATTTCAGTTCTTTATATATTTTAATATATATATCCTTATATATATTTTAAGCTAACCACCTAAGCAGGATTACCCTTTAAATTGCTAATGTTAATAGAAAATAATACAAGCAACAACAACAGTAATTACTATAAACTGTAGCTATATAACCACAAGTATGATAAAGTAATTATAGATTAATCTTTAATTCTATATCAAATTAGCTTTCTTTACTTGTGAAGACAATGTTTTAATTATTTTAATCCTATTACTTACTACACTTACTACACCATTCACCGAATTATTTTACTTACTACACTTACTACACCATTCACCGAATTATTTTAAACAATTATTATTTTTAAGATTCTGAATGTTATTAATCACAGAAATAATATGCATTTACACCATGCTTATACTTTGACAAATATATATAAATAATATTGCGAATTACCTATTACATATCTATATATCAACAATATATATTTTTTGAAGTACTTACTCTGTTCTTACTTTTTCCTTTCTCCTTGTTGCTTCTCTTGTGTCCATGAAACAAACAAACAAAAATAATGTTTTTTCTTCTTCTTCCTGTTGTTCACTCCCAAAGATTTCTTATGTTCTGCTAGTTAGTTTAAATCAAAATAAATTTCCACTTTTGAAACAAGGTCCCAGTTCTATATTCTTATTAAAGTTCAATTTCTTTTAGAGTTCAAAATAAGAGTTTAATTTCTTTTTCTTTTAGATTTCTTTTTTTCCAACTTACTTCATAATTTAAATGTCTTATTTCTCCATCATGAATGTCCTTGTGTTAATTCATTATTTCTCCCTGATTTAGTCTTTATATTGTCCTTTTTCTTCATATTAGTCGTCTTCAAAAGTTCTTTTTCTCCTCCGAAGCTCTGTCTCTTAGCTCTCAGCTCTGTTTTCTCCATGTTCTACAGCTGGCTCTAATTTATCTCTTAATTTCTGTGTCCTACAGCTGTCTATGATTTTGTATATACATACACTATTTTCTCTTGTTTCCTTCGATGTTGACTGATCCTTCCTCTTATCTTGTCCTCCACATCCACTGTACTGTTCTAGCAATCACCTCTATGATTTGAGTCCTCTTTATTTCTGTCCCCCTCAATAGCTCCAACAATTTGTAGTTCGTGGCTTGGGTGTCTCCATTTCCCTGGGAGGCAAGGCGTCTCCGGTCCGTGGCTTAAATCGATGTACCGAACTGAGTAAGTGACTACTGATGGCTTTTTCTTACATTATCAGAATTGTAGATTGTAAACTTCTTTCTTCCAGTTTTAATATTTACATTTGTGTGGGGATGTTGCGCCCCTCCAGGCGCTTGAGAGCAGTTGGGTTCGGTCTTGTATTTAGTTCTTCAATCCAATCCTATCCTGCCAAGACGCCACAGCAGCTGGGATGTGGATCGTTTTCTTTCTTTCTCCAATGAAAAAAAATTGTTCCAAGTTTCCTTTAATTACCAATGACTGATCAGGTAGACCCCCTGAACAGGGGGGCTAGGGACGGGTGACTGGGGGTCCCGTTCCCACCCAAATTTCCACTAACTCGGAGTTAGGGCTGAGAGCAACTCAAACCCACATCCTCCTCACAATCCCTCCACCGTATTTAATTATTTTTTATTGTATATAGTCCTAGGAACTTGATATGTGTAGGGTGCAATTCATAAATGTAAAATATAAAATTTTAACAACAGCTACTCAACATGACAGGGAAACAAAGCATGGAAAACAGATGCTCTGTGAATCACTAGTACTAGGTTAACCTTTCCCAGAATGTCATTCCTACCCTTGTTTAGCCATGGATATGTGTTTGCCACCTTGTC